TTAGACTTCCGATAGATGCACATTGTATTCCCTATATTTTTAAAAACATAAGGGCAATATTTGTAAAAAGCAAAATATGTATGTAATGCCAGAAAAATATATATATATATATATGAACAAACCCATCTCATGTTGCGGAATTAGAAGTGAAACAACATACTTTCATCATCATAATTAATATTACAAAAAGGTAACACATGCGTATATACTGTTCATAAACTCCTATCCTGAATCTACAACATGTGTTTACTAGCAAATCAAAGATGCAAAGTTGAAACAGATACTATAATGCCCTAACGGCTTACATCTTCCCAGTCATTCAATTTGTTAACAAAATGAGTCATAGCTCAATACAGTTAAACCCGCCCTTGGCTATACAAATGAATTACAACAAAAATGAGCCCTTGCTCCAAGTCTCTCAAGCTACTACCTGGAAATGGTTTTTCCCAATAAGAGTGAGCCAAGCCCAGTAGAAACAAGTCCAACACAATATATGAAACTTAACAAAAAAAGGTATAGAGCAGTGAAAAGCATGTCTATGCTTATAGAATTAGTCATATCTTACAAGATCATTATATGCCAAATTCTTTTATTCCAATTCGTCTCAGATATAATTCCATTCAATTAATTCATTTCACCTCAATGCATAAACATGTTCATAATGTATCCAGACACAACCCAGTTGAGACTACAACTCAATGCGTTCTAACATACATAACCAATACACAACACTTCAGTTTTGCCATTTATCGAAAATTCATTGTCCGTTGGGGGAATCAGCATCCCATGTATACACACAATTTTTCGGACCTTACACCCAGGACATAATAGGCCAACTTAATTCAGTGGAGTCCTAACCATTCTTCTCCCACATATGGAGTACATCCATTTTCTCTCCCAATAATCATACAGTACAATGTATTAAACACAGTCATATCTCATGACAACTAATATGAGATAGTTCAAATCTACCTAATTCTCATGTCATTGGCTAAACAATCATGCTATCCTCCACGATAGCCCAAAACAGATATTTCTAAATGATATACAATGTTAAAGTTAAGATAAATTAGCCAAATTTTCATAAGTGAGAGATAATATATATCAACTACACCGTATATAAATAAACCTTAAATTTCACATTTTCAGTACCAAATTTTATTATTCTGAAAAGTCATTATTGGAGACAAATTTAGGGCAAACCCCATTTTCTTCCAAAACATAATACAATGCATTTAAATCAACAAATTCAACAACAATACGTCCTCATATTTACACCTACAATCATTTTAATACCTTCATTGGATACCCTCTTTTAACTTTAACCCAAAACCCTTAGGTTTTTCTAAATCCCTCGAAATCCCAATCTTGCTCCATACAACATCAAATAAACTAAGTTAAAAATCACATATAAAGTGTAGAAAATTTCTATCTCAAGCTAGAAGACAAGAAAAAGATGAGGAACTTCAAACACGCTGAAACAAAGCTTTAATCGGATTCAAAGAGATGCTCTTGAGACGACTAAGTTTTTAACGAAGCACACAGGTAAGAGAACCACTAGAATCTAGTAAAATGTAGTAGAGACGAACACGAGATGTTAGAGAGAGGGAGATCGGTTTAGGGCTTTTGAGAGAAAATATGTCAAAAAGTGAAGTTCCTACATCGCTC